AAAAACAAACAAGACCAATAGCCATAACTGCCCATGCTCTACTATTGATTTCAGTTTAATCCAGAGTGCTTACACCAAACAAGACTGCTTTTTTTTTCCTATTTTTTTTCATCACTAACACAGCATAAGAAAATCATAAAACCTGCAACATTTCTAATCATTGAATCTCACTGATATCAAGACATCAAGAAGCTCAAACTATAAACCCAGACAACCAAACTCCAAAAGTTACCTAAATAAACCAAAATTTCACAACACACACACACACGCTCTGTGACTGTAAATCGTAACCGTAAATCGATACACACAAACCCGTGAACTCGCCGGAAATAACCATTCAAGCGTAGCTTCGCCTAAAATAAAAGCTAAAAAGGGGGGAAATGTTGCTTACATTGAAATTGCACTTCAAATAACAGAATCGTGATAAAGCCCAAACTCGTTGGCCTCCATTAACGATTGTTTCGCCGGCAAAATACGGAGCTTCAAATTGGATTTAGTAATCAAAAAAGCTTAAAAAATCGCAGCTTGGGATTCTGCTTTTTTTTTGGGTGGGAAGACGTGTGATTGTGAGGGTGCATTTATGTGTTTATCTCTTTATATTTCGTTTTATTTTAAAAAAATAATTTATATAAAAAATGTTTTGGATTGATAAAAAATGGCTTTTTGGGTTATTTAGTGAGTGGGCTACTACTAGTGATTGGTCCGATTACTTTTTTTTTCTCTACTTTTATTTTTGTCTTACGGATTTCAAATTTGTCCAGAGTTGGATTTAATTGCTTGTGATGAGTGGGCCACCGGCTACTTTGCACCAACCCCGTTGAAAATATTAAAATATTAAATCTACAGAATTAATAAAAGAAGTAAATCGAAAGTGTTTGATTATAAGTTAAACTTTTTGGTAGTTTATAACTTTTATTATATTGAATTAAATTTGATTTGATAGGACGATTTTTTTTTATTTAAATAGAACTTATCTCATAAGTTATAAGCTTCTTAAAGTAGATTTTTAAAAAAAAAAATTGAATTTTTTATTTCATCCAACTTATCGATTAATTTATCAAACTTTTTTATCATACTAACTAGCCATTTTCATCCGTAAGTTCGAAATAAACTTATAAAGCAATCAAATAATGTATCACCCATCAGCTAACTTTTCAGTTAGATTTACCAAACATACTAAAAACAATTGCTAAGTGATCAAATATAAATAGTACTATTTTTCGCCGTATTATGTGTTACTTAAATACGTGTAGAGTTACTAAACGAACCTAGTCACTCGTGGGCGCAGCTCGGTGTTTAGTAGTATTTTGTGTGGGTAGATGGTAACCGAGCTACCCGACCTCGAGTCGTTCTCTAAGGAAGACTATTCGGAGCGTCGTTTGTTAATTAGTTGTCCGAAACACACAAAGATAAAATAATTCCTACACATTCTAATCAATACGTTGATGAGTTAACACTAAATGAACTAACGAAATAGCAATTGTTGAACTACACGAGCAATCTTAATTAGAAACCCTAGCTTCCTAAATCGGATCGCTAAAAAAATCAATAAAATGAAACACGACAAAAGAACCGAACCCTATTCATGCACCAAAATGCTAAAGTCGAACATCCCACGACAAAATAATCGAGCTCCATGTCTCAGTCACGATTTTTCTTGTAACAATTCACACTTCAACAATCTCAAGGCGCAATAAACGAGTTCACAATAAACAAGGAAGCAAAACGAACTAAAGTCAACATGCAAGAAATCGAGCAAGCCCTAGTTCACGTCTACAAACAAGATAGCAAAATAGGTGCAAAATCGAGATAATAAGCCTTACTACGAAGTACTTACCTCCCTAATGCGTGCTTGAGCGAAAATGAAGAAGAAAAATAAAAACTTGCATAAAAACGAGTTCGCCGGAAAATGTCGCCGGAAAAACACAAAAGAGCAAAAAATAACATTCAGCTACATTCCAAAAAGAAAAACAAGACAAAATGAAGCTTATTGTCCATAATTACAAAGCCTTAAGTGCTTTCATAGTCTCAACAAATACACACATTAAGAAAAATGCACACACTCGCGAGGTGGCGAAACGACCCGCCAGACGTGGGAACAGATGGCAAAACACGGACATGGCATGGCGCACTCGCGACGTCGCGGATGGAGGTGCGAGGCGCGGACTGGGCAGGGGCGACACTTGCGAGGTCGTGGACGCCCACACGGGGTCGCGAGTCTGCAAGGCAGGTGAGGCGCATCACTCGCGAGGCCTCGGGCTCTACCGCGAGGTCGTGAGTCCGGATGATAGGCGTGATACATGGGTTGTGCAACACTCGCAAGGTCGTCAGCTCGCCTGCATGGTCGCGAGTGCAATCGCGACACCCGCGAGGTCTCCGGTCTCTCCGCGCGGTCGCGAGTCTAGACAGGGCAGGGCACGTCATCGATCGACAAAGACACGTGATTCTCGATTTTGATCGGAAAATGCTCGGGAACACTCGAAATTGACTCGGGACTTCTCAGAAGTGGCTCGTAAAGGGGCTCGGGACTTGGTTCGACTCTTCTCTCATCTAAAATGAATCTGGAAATCACACCAAAACGGAACGAGAAAGTACGTCAAAACATAAAACAAAACGGAAAAGACATAAAACGAAACGAAAAACATAAAAGTACACAAAACAGCTAAAATGGACCGGTTAGACGAGAAAACCAAACTAAAACCGACTCCACTAAACACGTACAACACATAAAAATAAACACAAAAACACAATAAACACTCGGCCTGTTAAGAGTCGAGTTCGACTAGACTCGTCCAGCTCGTTTAAAAACTCATTTAATTAACGAGACAAACTCAATTGTGCTACTTAAGGCTTATGGAATGTGTTTTTATATAATTTTTTGAACGTTTACCTTAATTCAAATTGTTAAGACTCAAACTTTGACTTATTACTTTTAATAAACGAGTTGAGTTCGAGCTGACTGATCAATTTAATTATATATCTAGGCCGAGGTTGACTTTAACTCGTTTACTAGTACATATATTGTGTATGTCATAATATTTGATGCATGCGTATGTACTAACCATGGACTTTAATAACATAATTAAGACATGCAACATAATTGTTGAACAATATGAAACACAGAAGAAAATGACATCAAACGAATTTATAAATATTTTGTGGCACCAAGTTAACATTTTCTTCAATTTTACATTAGCATTGACTAGGTTGCGTAATAATATGGCATTTTAAAACGCAATTATTATTATTGTTATAATTATTGTTATTATAGTACAATTAGTATTATTATTTTTAAATTTCTTGTCTAGTTGCCCTTTGTATGCTCTGTAGCTGAATCGGCATATGGTGAAAAGGTGAAATTCCCACTTTTTTTTTTTTTTATCAGCATGCTTTGAATGATTAAAATAAAAATAGAAAAATTAAATAAATAACAAGGAAAAACAACAACTTTTTGTTGTTCTAGTTTGACTTTAGCAAAGAGTATTATCAACTACAATTATGCAACTTTTTTATGGTACAATGATACAATCCCACTTGAAATGGGGATGGACTTTAGATATAACATGCACATTAAATTATTTCTTAGTCAGTCAAAATTTCGGCTCAGAGTCGAATCCAATATTTCAATTTTAAATACATTGAAATAAGTATATATTTATTTGTTAAACTTAGAAAATATATTGATTAAATTTACTTCACAAAAGACATGAATTTTTCTATTCTTCTCTTTTAATTTATTTTTGTCAGTCACAAAAGTTGTGCAAGTCTATATACTATTGTGGTTAAACATATAATTTTTTAAAAAATTTAACAATGTAAGCCTTTAGTAAATAATAACATGTATCGATTATATGCATATGCACAAATATAAATAAATTTACAAGTTACATGTTTATGTATATAGAATTTATAATCATTAATTAGATGCTCATATGTTATAAATATTTTCATTAACAAAGTGAACTACATAAATATAAACTATTGAACTTACAAATATGAATTACTGTATTGGTTGCAATAATGTAATATATATAATATTGAGTGATGATGACTAGTTAATTTGATTAAAAAATATTATAATTATTATTATAAGAATTATGTATAAAATTTTAAGGTGTTTGGTTATGCCAAGCATATAAAATAATTTTTTTTATATAGAAAATGGCTCTATAGATTTAAAATAATAATAATAATATAATAATCTTAATTAATAATTTGAAAATAAATACAATAGATTTTTTTACTGTTATATAGCTTCATATATTATTTAGTGTAACTTCATGATTAATTAGTAATAGTAATTATGTAATAAAATAAAAAATAATTACTTGATAGTACAAAATATAGAGGTTTCTTTTTTCAAATTAGCTACAAAAATGAGCGAGAACAATTTGGTTTTTGCGTTAAATAATTAGTCTACATTTATATATTATATATAGATAATAACAATATAATAATATAAATAGATTATTATTATTATTATTATTATTATTATTATTATATTTATTATTTTATTTTTATTACTGTAATTATTTTTGGGCACTGTATATCGTTGACGTGGATTATTCTGATTGGTACATGGACAAAGAGTGTGATTTAAGCATACTACCAAAAAAGATAAGCACAAACCCTATAATTTTGCAAAATTGGTGGGTCTACCGTCTATTATGATGAGTAATTTTCATTTAAATATGGACCAACCATTGGTTGTGCTCTAGTTCTTTTGACTGGAAATCGTAAGCCTTTTATGTAATTAACTTTTATTGTCAACTTAAGTTTACGAATACATTTTTATTTTTTATTTTTATTTTTGATTTAGAAGTTGATATTATATATGGGGAAGCAAATCACGAAATTTAAATTTTGTATATGAAGTAGCTACGTATATCTATACTTATATAATAAGAATTAACCTTTTTCAAAATTAGTAGGTCAATTCTTAGTCAACATCCTGTCTGCATTAAATGTTTACTAAAATTAGTAACTTTTATGTCATTTTCACACTTTTTTTTTATGTCCTTTTCACACTAGATTATATAAATGAACGGATATTATCTCACCTTTCATTAATCTCACCTATAATTCATGTGAATTGATTGATTGCCTTTAACTTTTCAAAACGTGTGCTATCCATTGTTTATTACTATTATTATTATTATAGTATGCACGTAATCAGTTGATTAAATAAATTATATATTATTATTATTATACTCACCACGTGACAGTTAATTAAAATATATCTATCTATACTTATATTAAAAGGTATACCATTTACCAGATTTAATATAAAGAAAAGTCAACAACATTTATTGCATTACTATTTTCGTATTATACAATCTATACTTATATAAAAAGAGATTCTATTTACTATATTTACTATCCAGAAAAGTCAACTGCATTAAATGTCATTACTATTTTGGTATTATAATATTTTATTTATTTAATTGTTTTATTTATTTGTTATTTTAAAAAGATAAGTATAATAAAAAGATTTTAATAATAAAAAAATCAAATACCAAATAAAAATGTACACTTTGACTTATTTGATTATATTTGGTATTTGATTATACCAGATATATTCCTATTTAGTATATACATTAAATACTTACTAAAGTATTTGTTTGTTTTATTTGTCAAAGTTAAGTATAGATTTTTTTAGATTATCAAATCATAAAAAAATATTAA